GGGGGGGGGGGGGGGGGGGGGGGGGGGGGGGGGGGGGGGGGGTATGACAAAACAGCGGCGGAGAAAGTCATGTAGAAGTCAGGAGCTGTGACTAGAAAGAGAGTCAAAGGGAGAGATTGTGTTTTTTCCCATGAATATGCAATGCTAACTCTGAGAAAAATACTTTCATATACTGCGGATCTCCGTTGCCAAATGCCTATTGCAGAAACACAATTACTGCCTGAATTATGTTCACTGGAAACCTTCTTTTTGTTTTTCTTCAGTCCAGGTAATGTGACTTCCTAACACTGCACAGAAGTCATAGGGAGGGAGTCGGGGTGGATGGTTGGGTGGTGCGAAGCATTAGTGCTGCTCTGCCAATGTCAATTGTCACACAATGTCAAACAACACACATCATTTATATTGTGAACATGGTGAACCTTGCTTATTTTACTTTTTGCTGAAAGAGTGAAAGAATGTGGGATTGAGACGGAGATTGAAAGCAAAAACAGAAGAGACGGACAAACAGGGGAAACAGTAGAGGGATGCAAAGGAGGGGAAGACAGACTGCACAGCAGGAGACAGATTTACTTTGGCGACGAAAGGATGCCAAGTGTCTCACCTCACCATCACTTTTACTGTTAACCAAACAGCTGTAAGCAGGTTAGCTACAGTAACAGCTGTGGTGAGTGGACCAGCCCTCAGGTTCTTTAGTGTAATAAAACCTGACAAACTAATGATTGCACTTGGTGTTATTGGATTCTTTACTTAAAGCCACATGGGCTGCAAACACTGCTTTTGCCTTGACTGTGACTAAGACGCGCATTATGGATTTCCTGGTCTGAGGAGAATTGATCACAAGCACAATGGCAAAGAAAAGGAAACATTCCGTGTAGGTACTTTCTGCTAATTGCTGTGACAGAGCCCATTTATGGGCGATGGCAGTAATGGAGTGAACACACGGTGTCAGGTAAAGTGTAGACGTTGTAAATTGAGTTTCCACTCCGCTCCCGGAGCGTTGCTCTTGAGATATATGATATGCCGACTCTAGCTTTGAGACGTTTTCTTGGGCAGGCCTCTTACCTTTTCTGCGTCTCTTCAATGCGTGCGACTGCAAGGACTCAGCGGGATGTTGCTGAGAAAGACCACACGTTCTCACTCAACTTTCGTTGCTTGTATAAACACATTTTTCCGTCTGACCTCTGAGCGGTTTCATTTCTGATGGTATGCGTCCTCATTCTGCAGATTATCTCCAAAGTGCTTGAGATCCAGATGTTTGCAACATCACTTCAATCATCTCGGTCCATCCGATCCAGATATAGTGCCTGTTTGTGAGCCAATTCATGTTAGGCGTGCTTCGGAATCATGGCCTCGCATTTGTCCCGGCTTAATGGCCGTATCGGACTATTTAACTTTAGTAGTGCAGCGCCTGTTGGGACCCTGTATTACTGTTGTCGGTGGGGGGGAGCATGTCCGTTTAGAGGAGCAGCCGGCCGTTCTTAGCGGGGCCGATTGCTTGGCCTCTGGAAGTGCTGCTTGCAGTGTTGTTGAGAACGACTCATCGGTCCCTGACTCAAGGGAAGTGAAGAAGACTTTTTATGTAATGTTGATATATCCAGCGGCAAAAGTGAACTGCGGTCAATGAGCCGCGGCCTGTAAAGGCCCGCTGCGGACGCCACGCTCAACTCAGAGCTCATGCAGATGTGAGTCGGAGAGCGCAAGAGCCGCATCACTTTGCTCTTGTTGTGACACGATATATGTGAGGAAAAAAAAATGGGGATGAATTCTGCATTCAAAGGCCAGCCCGCATTGCGTTGCCGCAGAGTTCATCTCTCTTCATAGCATACAGATAGAGACACATACCTACACACATGCTGCAGAGGAAAAAACAGCTTTTCTCTCCTTCATGGTAACAAATACTCCACTGGTTGTTCTCTGGCCGACCGTTTCCATATGTTTTCCCTCCGTTTGGGGAATTCTCGTCTTATCAGGCAGAGATAACCAGACACATTTTTCCCCTAATGAAAACATTTGAGTGGGTTATCAGGCTTGTATCTGAGGACATGGACGTCCCTGTGAACCTTTCAATTTAACCTAGAGGTGTCGCCCAAGCAAACGCAGATCGTTCGCTCATTAGACTTGCCGTGCGCACGCCGGTCGATCATTCAGTCAGCAGGACTGAAAACACAGAGAAGAGACAGAAAGGAACATCGCCCATTTGTTTTTGTTTTTGTACCCGACAAGAATAGGTATATTAAAGATATCAATCTTTGCATATAGTCAGCAGGTCTAGGTGCGAACCGACTCCCCTTTTCATCCGTCTGTGTTTGTGAGGCCCGGGCTCTGGCACAACCTCTTGGTGTTGTGATTAGCTTAATTAGCCATAACTCTCAAACCCCCATTTCTGCAGGCTGACAGATGACACAGTCATTTAGCTGAATGAATGGCCTGCCTGCTGGCAGCGGGTGAGGGCGCGTACGCTGGCCGATGGCCCGCACGAGGCAGTCGAGTTGAGGCTTGTTATCTGTGGATCACCCTGGGAAAGCGAAATGGTCAGAACATTATAGGGTGACGACGCAAGTAAGGTGTGAGGAAGAGGGGGAGAGGGGGAGAGAGGAGTTATGGACGGGTGACATACACATCTTGTTTTTCATGCATTCTTCAAATAGCTATTCCAGCCAAGAGAAGA